AATTATATTTACAAGTTAAACGTTAACAGTTAATTAAATTCTACCAAATTTACAGTTATCAGAATTACTAATTAATTTACCTACATTATTTAGATTTATATCTGATATTTACCAATACGAATCAATTCTACCAAAATTAAGAGTTATGAATTAATTCTACAAGAACAAAGTTACGATTTAATTCTACCAACATTATTTTTACCAAAGCTGCGAATTAATTATACCAAAATTATGCTTAAGATATCAGAGTTACGATTTTTATAACGAATTGATTCTACCAAAGTTACAAGCTTAGAGTCATTTCCAAATTCAAACTCGTCCACATGCACTGGACTAGGGATGCGATCTGTTAGTATCCAACGGTATATAGGAGGGTTTTGGTTATCGAATCACATTAGATCACGTAAATTTATTTGTTGCTCTGGTAAACATAATGTAGGTAGAATTAACTAATTAGTAATTCTGGTAACCATAAATTTGGTAGAATTTAATTAACTGTAATGTTGGTAAAGTTATCATGTACAATACATTATTCAATGTAAAGTTACATTACAATTTCGTAAGTTACAATGTAATTTACATGAAACGTAACAAAGTAATTTATATAAAATATTCCTAACTCTAGTACCTTAAGCATAATTTTGGTAGAATTAATTTGCGGCTTTGGTAAACATAATGTTGGTAGAACTATGTTTACCAGAGTTATATTTATCAGAGTTATGTTTACCAAAGTTATGTTTACCATAGTTATTTTTACCAGAGTTACGAGTTAATTCTACCACATTTATGTTTAAGTTTAGCCAGTACTAATTATGTTCGGAATTTGCCAGCTTTATAAAAATTTTTGCAAAAATTATTCACCTGATAAAAATTACATGTAATTTTGATTTCAGAAACTTACACAAACTTACGTAAAATCACGTAATTTTCCAACCCTAACCAGAGTTACGATTTAATTATAACGAATCTACCAAATTTATGTTTACCAGAGTTATGAGCTAATTCTACCAACATTATATTTATCAGAGTTACGAGCTAATTTTACCACATTATGTTTACCAGAATTTTTTGTTTTCTCTACCAAAATTATATTTACGAGTTAATGTTACGAGCTAATTCTACCAACATTATATTTACCAGAGCTTTGAATTAACTCTACCAAAATTATATTTACGAGTTATTGAAATTTTTGTTAGAACAAATGCAAAAGAGCAGTTAGATCTTGGTCATATACATGAATTTCCAGAATTGTTAAATGACCTGTTTGAACCAAGCAGATAACAATTTTTTTAATAGAATATAGCTTCTTAAAGTTTGGATTTATACATAAAAAATTGATTTTTCTATATTTGTCAATTTTAGCACCTAGCCTACTTTGTAAGTGAAAGAATCTTTGTGATTTTAGTGGATTTATTGAATCTTCAAATATGCTATATAATTGGAACTTATCCTGGTGCATAATTTGGGCAGAATTTGAATATAAATTTGGGCAAAATTAAGTATTAATTTTAGCAAAATTAGGGTTATTCTAGGCAGAATTTAAATAGAAATTCTGTAAAATAAAGTATAATTTAAAGCTCTGAATTAAAGATGATACATGAAACTTTTGATTGAATACGTACAATAATCTTTACCCTACAACTATTAAAAATTAACTAAATTGTAGCATTTATATAGATAACCATAATTACAATATTAAATGAAATTGTTTAAAAAAACAATTTCAATTAACTAATAATAACTTTAGCTATGATTTTGATTCCAATTTTGATGAATTTGCTAAGATTTTTGTGCAAACACGAGCAGTAAACAAAATTGATCTTACATATTTGTACTACTTTCTTAACTTAATATACGAATTGTGGAGAAACTAACAACATTTTTATTATCAATATATAAATATTAACATTTCTCTATAATAATGTCCTAAAATTTAGCCATTGATGTTTACTATCTTTTTTAAATATGTAAATATTAAATTATTAATGGTTGTCTTAAATAATTTTAAGTCGACGTAAAATGCTTTTAATATATATCAAAAAATCAAAACCAAAAATATTTAATGATAATATTTTCGACTTTCGGTATGATTTTTGGCAAATTACATCTGTTTTCTGCTTATTTTTATATTCTAATATGGGATATCCAGCCTCCTTAATTTCTGGAAGTTGACAATTGAGATTGTAATGCTTTGAAAGTATTACTTTAAATATTTCTTCCACATTTATAAAATGTTTTGATGAACAAAATATTAATGAAGCTTTCATTTTAATGGCATAATGATGAGCTTGTGAAATATTAAAAAATGGTAAATATATATATATTTAAAAAAACACATAATAACAATATAAATATGAATCACCTTCTTTGTAATATCATACTGAGTTTCCTTTTCAAATTCTTTAAATATATCATATTTTGTCCCTATGAGAAAATATATTGCATTCTGTTGATTTGAGTTAAAAATGTAAGAATAAGTAATCAATTGATCATCTTGTGTTTATATCACATTTTACATACTTTATTAAAACTTCTTGTTTGTTTATACCATTCTTTAATACTGTACAATGTGGATATTTGTGATAAATCAAACATAAAAAGAATTGCAACAGAATCATCACAAACATAAGAAATAAATTCAGGGCGACCTATTTTGTATAACAAAAAAAAATAATCAATGGGTCAAAATCACGACAAACAAAATTCTAAAAAAAAAAGCTAGCTTTACCAAAATTCTATATACTGAATC